CCGGTCGCTTATCGTGGTCTCAATCTTCCTGCTTCCCACCGAGACACGGTCATCAACTCAATGGTTTATATCCACTACTCTCTTCAGAAATTCAACCAGCGTCTACAAAAGCAGCAAGGCCGAATCACTTATCTTACGCCCCGCCATTATCTTGACTTTGTCGCTCAATATGTGAAACTTTTCAATGAAAAGCGGGAAGATTTGGAAGAACAACAACGCCATCTGAATGTCGGTCTTGAGAAGCTCCGCGATACTGTGGAGAAAGTCAGCGAATTACGACGGAGCCTTGCTGAGAAGAAGCGCCAACTCGAACAGAAAGATGTGGAGGCGAATGAAAAGTTGCAACGCATGGTTGCCGATCAACAAGAGGCCGAGCGACGTAAAGCGGCTTCACTTGAAATACAAGTGGCACTAGAAAAGCAAGAGCATGAAGTAGCTCGTCGAAAAGAAATCGTCTTGGGCGATCTTGCCAAGGCTGAACCTGCCGTGCTTGAAGCCCAGAAGAGTGTCAGCAATATTAAGCGACAGCACCTCACTGAAGTTCGTGCGATGGGAAATCCTCCTGCAAGTGTTCGGCTTGCGCTGGAATCAGTGTGCACTCTGCTTGGTCATAGAGTTGATAACTGGAAAACCATTCAAGCGATTATTCGGAGGGATGATTTTATTGCTAGTATTGTCAATTACAACAACGAAAAACAAATGACCCGTAGCCTGAGGAACAAGATGCGTGTGGATTATCTTTCCAAAGACGAATTCACTTTCGAGAGAGTATACCACGCCAGCAAAGCTTGTGGCCCGCTAGTCAAGTGGGTTGAAGCTCAGGTGAACTACTCTGAAATTTTGGACAGAGTCGGACCACTCCGAGGCGAAGTCGATCAACTAGAACAGCAGGCATTGCAAACTAAGGCGGAAGCACAGGCTATCGAAAACACCATAAACACTCTGGAAAGCAGTATTGCCACCTACAAAACTGAGTACGCGGGACTTATTAGCGAAACCCAGGCCATTAAGACCGAGATGTCGCGCGTGCAATTTAAGGTCGACAGAAGTGTCCGTTTGCTAGACAGCCTGTCTTCGGAAAGATCTCGTTGGGAGGAAGGAAGCAAATCCTTCGAGACGCAGATATCCACTCTTGTCGGAGATGTCCTCATTGCAGCTGCTTTCCTCGCATATGGTGGCTTGTACGACCAACAGTTTCGAAAGGCAATGATCGATGACTGGGTGTACCAATTAGGCCAGTCAGGGATCAGCTTCAAGCCCCACAACCCCATTACTGAGTACCTGTCGAATGCAGATGAGCGGCTATCCTGGCAAGACCATTCGCTTCCAGTTGATGACCTGTGCACGGAAAATGCTATTATTCTAAAGCGCTTCAACAGATACCCGCTTATCATCGACCCTTCTGGCCGCGTTACCGAATTTTTGCAGAAGGAGAGCAAAGACCGGAAGCTTACAGTTACTAGCTTCTTGGACGACTCGTTTATCAAACAATTGGAGAGCGCATTACGGTTCGGCAACCCAATTCTTATCCAAGACGCTGAGTATCTGGACCCTATTCTCAATCATGTTCTCAACAAAGAATACCAGAAAACTGGTGGCCGTGTCCTTATCCAGTTGGGTAGACAGGAAATTGACTTTTCCCCTGCCTTCAAATTGTTCTTATCGACAAGGGACCCGTCTGCAACTTTCGCCCCAGACATCTGCAGCAGAACAACTTTCGTTAACTTCACTGTCACCCAGAGCAGTCTCCAGACTCAGTCTCTAAATGAAGTGCTCAAGTTTGAACGCCCCGATGTTGACGAACGCCGAACGAATCTCATTAAACTCCAAGGCGAATTTAAGATCCACTTGCGCCAATTAGAAAAACGTCTTCTACAAGCCTTGAACGAGTCTAGAGGTAACATCCTCGATGACGACAATGTCATCGAAACCCTGGAGACATTGAAAAAGGAAGCTGGTGAAATTTCCAACAAGATGGTTGAGACTGAAGGTGTCATGACCGAAGTTGAAAACATTACACTTCAGTATAACATCATTGCACGATCCTGCAGTGCCGTATTCGCTGTTCTTGAGCAACTTCATCACCTTAATCACTTCTACCAATTCTCTCTGCAGTACTTTGTCGACATTTTTAACACTGTCCTCCACCAGAATAAACATCTCGCCCAGGAAAAAGACCATTCTGCAAGAGTCAACATCATCCTCCGTGACCTGTTCATTACCGCCTACCAAAGAACTTCACTTGGCCTTCTCCAGAAAGACAGAATAACACTCGCCATGCTTTTAGCTCAAGCCTCGCCTTATTCTATGGATAAGGGAATTATAGACACTATTCTGGACACGAGTGTCGAGGGGTGTGATGTATCCTTAAACAAGGATCTCAAAGATTCCTTAATGGCAACTGCTTCTCAGATGTCGCTCTTCAGTTCATATTTGCCGTCAGTTACTCCAGAGGCTTGGGAGAGGTTCCTCTCAGAAGAGTTTGCTGAAAATTTTGTCCCTACTGTCTGGGAGGAAGGCACCAGCCCCCGTGACCAGCAACTCCGGTCGCTTCTCTTGGTGAAACTCTTCCGCATTGACAGATTTGTCCCTACTGCTGAAAAATTTGTTACTGAAGTTTTTGGACGGGAGCTCTTTGAGAGCAGCGGAGATCTTAAGGATGTCGTTGAACAGGTTACTGCCACCGCCCCTATTTCACTAAGCTCAAGTCCCGGTTTCGATGCCAGCTACAAGGTAGATGGACTTGTCGAACGGATGCACGCAACTTGTGCAAACATTGCCATGGGTTCGAACGAAGGAGTTGAGAGCGCGGACAAAGCTATCAGTAACGCGGCTGCAACTGGCACCTGGGTCCTCGTCAAAAACGTACATCTTGCGCCGTCTTGGCTTCAAAGTCTCGAAAAACGCCTCGACTCTCTCAAACCACATAGCGATTTCAGACTTTTCCTATCCATGGAGTCGAGTCCCAAAATACCTGTCAATTTGATTCGAGCTTCGCGAGTTCTGATGTATGAGCAACCCGCGGGTGTACGCGCCAATATGAAGGACTCTCTCTCATCCTTATGCGCCAGAGCCAGTAAACCACCAGTGGAGAAAGCTCGTATTTATCTGTTGCTCTCATTCCTACATGCAGTCGTTCAGGAGAGACTTCGCTATGCACCTAGCCTGGGATGGAAAGGTTTCTGGGAATTCAATGACAGCGATGTAAGTTACATTCAGCTCTCCCACTTATCCCTTACCGGTAGTTATATTAACTAATATCGCAAAAATTACATAGTATGAATGTTCTGCGTTTATAATCGACACGTGGGTTGACTCGATTGCGCAAGGCCGTTCCAACGTCGCGCCGCAGAAATTCCCTTGGGACTTGCTCCGCACATTGATTACCGAAACATACGGTGGTAAAATCGACGATAGCGGGGATTTCCAGCTTCTCAACGATCTTGTTAATAGCATCCTGACTCCAGCTGCTTTTGAGGATGAACACAACCTAGTTGCTGGTATCGAAGATGATGATTGCCTTAAGCTACCCTCAGGAACTAGTATGCGAGACTTTGTTGAATGGGTCAATCGACTACCCGAGCGTGAACCCCCAACGTATCTGGGACTGCCTGCCAACGCAGAAAAACTGCTTCTTGTTGGATATGGCAAGACAATGATTGAGAACCTTGCCAAAGTTACCAACCTTCTCGATGAGGGAGAACAGTTGATGGTAGAGTCGACCGCTCTATAATTGAACTACCATCTATGCAGATCACTATTCGCTCTCGCAAGATACAAACACACCCACTTCCCTAAAACAAATTTCTTTGTTAGTCAAAGCCCGAGGGCAAAGAACGCCTCTTCCGGCGAGCTAATTTCCGATTCAGGGCGTTTTGAACATTCTCTGGTCGATTTTCTTATTTTCTTATTTCCTGATCAAAATTTGTCTTTTAAATGTGTCCTGGCGGGAGGAGGATATACCCAGAATGCAAATTTCCGTTCCCTGGTCATCCCATCTTTTGAAACACATCTCTTATCTTATCCCTTCCCCTCCTTTTCAATTTCTTATATTATCTTGTTTGGACCAGCATCTTGTTGTGAATCTGTTTTACGTCAAATGGTGGCGGGGTTTGGGTTTCTCTTATCTGTTATCCGGAATATGTCTTCTCTTCGATTTATCAGTTGTATTGCTATATGCTATTTACTACACAAGCTGTGATGGTGATCCCGTCTCCCACAAGGTGGTCCCTTTTGTATTGTTTAGCTCTTTTTCTTTACCCTTTGTCTTTCTCACATGTTTTTCTATATTTGAACTTTTTTCTTCCCCGCTTTCGCTACAATTTTTGTCTAGTCTATCGATTCTGTCTTTGAAGGATGTTAAATGCATAGATTGCAGCATGCCATAGAACAGTGAAAGATCATGGTTTCTCACCCCACCTTCCGAGGTTCATGCTTCCACGAACGCCCATCCTATCTCATCCCATCCCATATTCCGTTAGACCGTGTGTTGGACTCTAAGTTCGCCGCGATCAATCCCCATGACCCGCTCTTGGCGGTGATGCCAGCCAATCTGCATGCGGCCATTGGTGTTTCAAGACGATCAGTCTCCTGTCTACTCTCATTGGCAAGCCCAAAAGTGTTAACTCGTAAGAAGCCGGCCCCACTGCCAGGATGAGCTGATTACCTTGCCGACTTTCTTTTCTTTTTTTTTTTCAATATGGACGAGTTACAACTTTTTCTTGCTCGATTTTCGCTTTTGCTTTTTCTTAACATCGACGGAACCAGATCCATAGATTCCCTTTGGACATAAACAAAACATCCTCTCTACGAAATAGCGGGGTCGACTTTTTCCTTTTAGTGTCTGTTGATGTTTTATTCTTGAGCAGGAGAATCGCTCTTCTCTTCTTACTTTACTTCTACTTCTGTTTCGTCTAACTTATCGATATACCTAATTTTTTTTCTTCTATTTAATTCGCCTTATACATATCCATGGAATAAAGAACCTCCCCCGCGCCTCCATATATTCTTCTCTATGTGCTCTATTCACAACCATGAAACGCCCTCCAAAACTTCGACCCAGCTCGGCGGGACACCTGTCGACGTCGTCTTCTAATTCCATGCTCTCGCGGGTCCCGTTGCTGCATGTTAACGAAATGAGTCTGGCTGCGTGGGATGTGCGAGATCAGATCCCCGGCTTGCGCATTCCGCTTGGTGGGTTCTCTATTTCTTTCTTCATCCTAAGAATATAGATATATAAACTCAGATAGAACTTCAACTCCACTCTCTAGACAGCTGCTAATACTAACTAAACTGATGTATAACAAACCAGCCTTCCTATCATCCCTACGGACAAACCTGCAGATATCCTCTGCAAATGAAGACCTCCTCCCACCCTCACCACTCCTCCCCCTTTCCTATATGCCAGACCCTCTCAAACACTCCCCTCACCTAACCCCCGGGTCGAACAAGTCCTCCCTCTCCCGCTCAACTCTCCACCCAACCCCACATCCGCGGCAAAACATCGTCCCATCAACCCACACATGCACAAATGCACATCCAAAGACATCCAACAATACCAACACCCATTCATCCCCCAACCGCCCCACCACCACCACAACGCAGACCCCCTTGATAACCTCCTCCGCCACATCCGAAGCCGAAATCCTCACCGCCCTCCGCCTCGTCGCCGACACCGTCGCCGAACAGCGCCAACTGGCTGCAAAATGCATCCTCGCGCACCCCGCCATCCTCGGGCCCTCCACCATGCTCTTCCTCACCATCGCCAAGCTCCTCCACACCGGCTCGCCCAGCGATCTTGTTCTCACGCTCGCGCTCTGGTCGCTCTGCAACCTCCTCGCCCTGCTTGCCATCCGCTCCATGGTCCGCGGTTACGCCACCATCGCCGAGCACGTGGGCAGCTGGGCCTGGCTCGCCGCAGATTCCGTGAATGGTACCTCGCAGCGCCGCGACGAGGTTCTCGTGGCGAGGTGTGCGGGCGAGATTGTTGGCGTGCTTGTGCTGAGGATCGCGAAGACGAAGGCGACGGCGGCTGCAGCTGTGGCGCGCCCTGGTGGTGCTGCGAATGGCGCTGGCGTCGGCATCGGATCGATGACGGGGATGGGGCCAGGGGCAGGGCCGCTGAAGTCGCGGTCGTCGAGACGGAAGAGCTCAGCGAGGTGGACAGGGATTATCCGTGCGTGGAGCGTGAAGCAGTCCCATCGTCGTTGCGGGGTGGGGACGAGGCTGCTCGAGGAGGCTGTGGGGTATTGCCGGTTGAGGAATCTGGACGGCCCGTTCTTCGCGGATGATCATGCCAATGCGACACAGGTGTTGCCTGGGATGTTTCATGGGAGTTTCCTGGCGCATGATCGGTGGGCGCGTGGGTTTTTGGAACAGTTGATTATTCTGATACAGAAGGGGAGGTGAATTTTTTATATTCTAAAATTTTCTTTTTAATTACGGTTTACGATTTTGCACGATGTCTATGAGATACCACCATGATTCACTCCGTTCGCTTTCATTTTGGTTGGCTGGTGTCTGTCTAGCAATTTAGCGATTCTTCTCTTTTTGGCAGCACACACACAATCGTTTCTTTGGGTGGGTTAGTTGTTGAATGCGGGTTGATATGAGGACTATCGCTACCTTGGGTTCAGCTCAGGAAAGACATTGGATACAGGATGGATGGGCAAAAGCGCTTCTAAGGAAATCATTGTTTGAGCAAGCGTGCTCTTAAATAGTTACTACGGTACCAGTTAACTACTAACATTCTTTTAAAAAAAGAAGGATGATGAACAAAGATGTTTTTGCGACTTTCCTTTTCCATTTCCGGTTGAATTTACATTACATCAACATTACACGTTGCGCATCAGAGCTCAAGATGCTGCACCTCTTCTATCTGCGCTGCTCCGCCGTTCGTCGCCCAGTCTTGTTTGCATGCAACCTGCGGAACTATTATAAATAAATAGTCCGTCCTCAGCGCTCAAATGCGAAACGCCAACCGGTGGGCGGCCACCCAAGTAGATCAATACTTGTAACTGAGCAGATAAACGACTGGTGGGATTCGCATCTCGCTCCACTCTCACGAAGAAAACCGTGCCGTCTCGAGAACCAATACGTCGCCTCCCAGCTCTCCCACAGGGGGCCATGTGTGTGAGATCTGGAATCTGATACTCCGACTGACGCACTCTCCTCCCGCCCGAAACCATCAGATGCAAGTTGGCATATGTACGCGTTCTCCACCATCCTGCGGGCGCGGGCTGCAACCGTCGCACACTCGTCCCCGAAGGGCTGATCCGTCCCTGATGGCCGTGGTCTGGCCGTGGTCCTAATCCTTCGAACAAACCGCGTTGGCGGAGAGGTGGGACAAAACACACCTGTCTTGTCGGGGCAACTAGTTACACTGAATGGGCTATGATACAGCAAGAGCCATTCCTTGCCTGTGTTCTAAAAACAGGCTCTGTCTGACACGGCCTGGCCCTGTACTCATCGGCCGGGTGTTTGGTGGGCAACTAAATAGTTAGCTCGACAAAGGTTTTCCTACATATTATCTATGGCATCCTCCTTTCCAACCACAGCATGACGCCCCTCCCAGCCCGGGCTTGGAGAAGCGAAAATGGTTGAATGGTTACATACTACTAACTTGTAGTTTGCTGTTTTTCGCTTGCAAAAACCTAAGAATGCGATTCGCTATCTCACAGTACACGGAAAGAATTTCAACCTGTGTGAGCTAGAGGATACACCACTTTGTCATAGAGATATATCGTTCGGGATGACCATCACCACGTTGGACGGAATAGCACGATTAACTTTGGGACAACTTCCTTGATCATCCACAATTGTTTGAACCTACAAGTCGAGGTAAAACAGCCCGACATGGAGGTAGAAACAGCCCCTAGACCAGAGACGTAGTTATGGGGCACTCGCATGCCCTTTAAACATGAATGGCCCAACCGAGGCGACACTACTCTGTAATGTCATTGAGACACCGGATAAGTGCGCTAGAGCGCATGCATGCTTCGCATGTATGGAATCGATTGACCCAGCTATTCTGGTTTTATTATCCTTTGTTGCTCACCGGCTGATTGCAATGTTCACAGCAATGGATTGTCTATAATATTCATAGGTGAGAATAGTGGTCCTGGGTCCGGAACCCATTCCCCCCCTAGAAATTCAGAATCGGCAACGGGGCCAACAAGGCACCTAGCAACGAAGAATGGAACAAATCTTGCTCTTTCTCAATGGCCCACAGCAGCTACAATTTGGAAATGATTGGATCGACGAAGAGTTTGTCTCGAGGCATGTGGTTGGGATAGATGCCCTTCGTAAGGTCGTGGATAAGTATACTCTCGATTATGTGGAAAAGATTGCTGGCGTCCCTAAGCCACAACTGCAGGAGACTGTGAAAATTGTTGGAATGACTCCTTCACTGCCGTTTACCACCCTTCAATGTGTTTATCAGTCCAGTTCCCCTGCCCGCACCTGCCAGATCAATACTATCAGCCTCCCGCGAGAAAAGATTGGTACATCTGGTAGTGAGATCCTCCAGATGAAGGGACAGCTCACAGGCTAGAACAACCGTGAAACTGGTTGCGACGGAGAGTTCCTTAGACTTTCAAGAATTTCAGAATCCTAAACATTTGGAATATCGACACGATCAAGATGCCTCACTGGAACCAGCAACTCACATACAGAACAAGCTTAGTTACATCGAAGGATGGGTCAGTTGAGATGTTTCGGATTTCTCGGACCAACCCACTTGTTGGTTAGTCTTCCGAATTTGCACAGGATTCGGAATTTTATCATCTAAACCAGACTTATTAGCTGTGAGGAAGGATTTCTTCCTGACAGAAAAACTACATCTCTTTCGAATGTGGTTCTCCCGGCTGCTCCCTCAATAGGGAAAGAAGACTGAATGCCTCACTAACGCTGATCGGACTATGCATCCATCTTACAAAGCAGTGGACCCTCCTGGCGAAACCAAGTCCCACTTGGAGATATGGTTTGACTTGGCAAGGAGAACGGAGTTTAAAATAAGGACGGAGAACCGTTTGATTCCATACACGCATCCTGAAGAGGTATTTGAAGCGTGGGAACAGGTTTTCAGCCGGTCGTCCACCGGACTGTTGCCCGTTGCCATATGAAAAATTGAACTGGCGGGTCGGATATGGTCTGGAGACTTGCGTACCCTGCACGAAACAACGGTACATGGAAATGAGCCCTGCTGATGGAGCAATTTTTGCAAACAGTTCATTGCAAACCGTCCATGGAGGTGGTTGACGATCAGCAGTCGTTGGATGTGGCACTTCAGCCAGCTGGCATGGCCATGTGGGATAAAGAGTTTGTGGGGGCGGTGTCGTTTGCTCAGAGCGGAATTCATATTAAGGTTAGGAGTCTCCCTCCAGACACGCTGGTGCCAATGGCGATGCAGGGAGATCTGCATCTGCCCGGGTATAGTATGGCCGGGCAGATACGCGAGGGGAGTTAATGATGCTTGTAGTTGGTTTGTTCGGATTCTGTTTCGCGGATGTGCGAAATGGAGATCAATAGTTAATTGTTTGCTGGCAAAATTCGAGGAGTGAACGGGACGGGACGAGCGCAAGATTGGATCCTCCTTGCTTGCCAAATAGAATACATCATGAAGGGCGTTCTACTTGCTGTATAGTGTATATATGATTAATGGGCAACAATCGATTTCCTTGCTCAACAATGTGGGCCTGACGGTTAGATTCCAAGGCGTGAAATTGCGGGTTTAACAACAGAAATGAAGTTTGAGTAGAGTAGGGACTATTTAAAAGAGATCACGTTAGCTAATTCGAGAAGAAAATCATATCGATCTCCTAGATTACATTGAGATATCATTGTCCGTTCCATACATCCCTTTACACTTTCTGTCCCAATTGCACTTCCAGTAGGCTCACTCAGCAAGCGTCACACGATTCACAATCAAAGAGGCTATCTAGCCCACCGTGTCTCCAATCTCCTTCCCACGACGAAGACGTAAGAGAAGAAAAGAAGAAAAAAACAAATCCCTAAATAATTCCTGCCACATTTGACATACATTCAATTCCTTCCATACAGCATCTCTCGAGTCCTTGGTTTCCATCACATAACAGGCAAGCAAGGATTTTGGGAATGCCGTGACCCGAAAAAAACCCATCAAAATCCAACAAAATCCAAGTGCTTTCCCTGGTGAAAAATCTAGCCTTCGCGCGGGTATTTGATTATATGTAATGTACCACCAGAGACCCTTGGCCTATTCAAACCCGTAGACAGAATTTCCCATCTATGAGCGAACGATTACAAAGATTAGCTAGCGTTGACATTTCGTTCTAGGGATACAAGCTTCCTGGTCGCTCTTCTTGGTGGAGGGGCTGGGTTGTGGATGGGATGGAGAAAGAGAGGGAGACGAGAGAGGATGGTTCAAAAGGAGCCACCGGAATAACAGAAATTCATGAAATCACAGGAATAACGAGAAAAGAAAAGAAAAGAAAATGGGTGACTTACGCCATGCAATATGAACACAACCTTTCATGAACAAAGGAGAGCATAGTTGATTAGCCATCGAACATAGAGCGGGTAGCATCAAACGTAGCGCGCAATCCAGCGTAATCGTCCCATTTCTCATATGCTCACTGGTTTGCGACAGCATTATCATATAAAATGAAGAAATACTCACATCACGAGTGGTAACCGTCTGGAATATCAAGAAAGATATAGTCAGCTTCAGTCTATTTTTTGTTGGCCCTACGCTGTCTACCACGGACTAGCGCACCGCACATATATGCCTCAGCTGCAGACATGCTTTTTACTAGAGAATAGAAAAGAAAAGAAGGGGGGAAATGAATACCTTGCGCTCTCTATTAGGATACTTCGAACCTTCAAGCAAATTGACGAGTCTCCGGATGATCTTGAAGTGAGTTCCCGAAAAGAAAGTAAACGAGCATTAGCAAAGCACACTGTTTAACTATACTGCCCCGAACGCCCCCTTTTGTCGTTTTCTTGCACCTCAAAGACATGGCAGCAAGATGTAAAAGAGAGGTATGCTTAAGAGACAAATGGAATCATCAACAAAGGCGGAAGTAGCAATCGAACACAAACATACCTCCCGCAGACGTTCGAGAACCACGGACCGGACGGTATCGTAAATGTCCTTCTGAATCCGAATTACGCCACCGCGGCGGGCGAGACGACTGCGCGTGGGATTAGAAAGGCGGAATAGGAACAGCGCTTGCACCTTTTAATCCAAAAACAAGAGGGGCAGTGTCTCATTTGGAATAAGCTTTGAGCGTAGAGGGCATTTTATCCCGTAGTATAGCCAAAATTTCCCCATTTATTGGCCTTTAACTTAGGGGATTATGCAGGCACGAAAGAAAAGGTCTTTGTTCCAGGGGATTTTGATAATGGCCGACTTTGAAATGCAAAAGTCCGAGATATCTGGGGTTTTTATAGACGTACCGGATAGTAGTAGGTTTGGCTATGATAAAGAAGACGCTGGCGTTAGTGTACGATCAATCCCTAGATACATAATGTCCTATAGCGGGCATCCCATTCTTCTATCAATTCAAGGAGGCCGCGGGAACTGCTGAATGACAGAGGCAATATAATACTTACCAATGCCCATGATATTATCTCTCAGGCGCTTCCTGGGAGTCGAAAATAGCAATATGGGAAGTCAGTCTCTTCCCTGGTGTTATGTAGTCATACAAACCCGCCATCCGCAAATCCATGGCAGAGGGAGTAATATGCCCGGAAACAAGACAGCGTGGATCACGTAGGATGGACAATAAACAATCCCAGAAATGATATGATGCTATTGGAAATGCATCAACTCACCTGAGCCGTTTCGGAACAAATTTGGCGACATTGGATAAGTTGCGGTTGTGGCGGGAGTTGATGGTCTCCATTTTTTTATTTTTAATTTTTATGCCTCGTCTTGACTGTTTCTAGCTGGTTTTGTATCGTCAGATGGCTTTTGAGAGATTCTTGACTTCGGAACTGTGAGATTTCAACTTGGAAGATGAAGCGCTGTAGTCAGGATGAGACAAGAGGGATTGATATTTTGGTTTTTGCCGTTGGAGAGAAGCGAATAGCTCTTGGATGAAATAAACCGGGTATTTTAGAAGATATGTAAAGTAGCCAGTGCTTTTTGGTCTGATGTGTTGTGTTGATATGTGTTGAGAGATACGAATGTGTTTCTATGAGTGAATCAAAGAGGGGAAAAAGGGGTTGGTAGGGCAGTGAAGGGATGGGTATGCTCTGACAGGCAATGTGTTAACCCTTTCCATCTCAATAAACTTCAAGTCGGAAAGGGGAACAAATAAAATAAAAAAAAGTAGTAGTTGGGAATCCGACACTCTAGACGGAAGAGCGGAAGTGACACTGTCCGGTGTTATTCGATTTCATTATAAATACGATTATGATGGGAATAAGCGACGATTTGCAAAACTCCTTATCGAAGTAACATAAAAACAAACAGGTGATCGTTCGCATGTGTATAGATAAGGTTTTAGGCGTTGCATGCATGAAAGGTTGTTCAAAAGAAAGTATTAAATAAAAATAGAAGAGGGAACGAGTGATTAAAAATAAAAATGCAAAGAAAAAAAGCATCCCAACGCCAATTCACGGGTCAACCATGATAATGACAGAGCTCTTCGTTTGTGATTACATTATGAAAGAAGGGAGAGAAAATCTGGGAAGATCTAAGAGATGAAAGTTGCCTCCGAATAGAGTGTGCCTTGCTCTGTATCCTCAGTGTCCCCGACGCGAATATTCAGGGAAAGCTTCTCTTGAGGCGAAAACTATGGAGTGATATTAACATCAAGATCCCACCACACGCAGTGAGCCATTATCTCTCGCTTACCTGATAAATGTATGGTTTTGTTCCAGCAACACTTCCGACAATGGACTTTATAAAACCCGGAACCTCTGCCATAACATCAACACGATCAAGGCGTTCACCCAAAGAACCCTCCAAGACTGCTTCGACAGCCTTGCCGTCCTTAGATTTCCCATCCCAGGTGAACTTAATCGACTTGGGTTCCGGCCAGTCGTTGTAGGTATCTTCGGCGGATTCGACATGGATCGCAGGTTTGACTGGTCCTGCAACAACGATTTCACCGTCCTTTGCAATGCCACCAACGCTCACAATGGTGGAGCCGTATGAAGGAGGTGTGGTGTACTCCATGAACACCGCCGAGTACGTTGGGGATTGGAAAGTTCCAAAATTCCACCGAGCGGCTGCAATAAAGCATTAACCTTTATACCGTGGGCATAAAAACCCACATCAATCAACGGCTTCTCATTAAGACAAAGAACATACCAAGATGATGAGGCTTCATGCCTTGGAGGGCATGAATGAACAGGCCATGACCTTTGAAATCAATTTCCCTCTCCGGCGTAACAATGGTACCCTCGACTGTACATCTGGGCCAAAACACATGACGCATGCTCCCCCACGGGTTTTCCGGATCAGTGCCAAAGTTCGAGGTGCCATTCTGTCCAATCGCGAAACCCGGCGCGGCTCGTTTCAAATTGATATTGACGAGGCTGTCCTCATTAATGGCTGATTTGATGGAGTATGTATCACCCTCAGCATTGAGCGTGAGGGCGATGTTGTCCCCGCCAAAGGAGAGCATGTCTTCATCGAACATATAATTATGAACAGAGTCACTGCACCATATATGCGGTGATTTGCCGTCCGTTCCGTAGATCTTGGAATTGAAATGGCAGGTCGTGTGGAGTCCGCTGTGAATCGAAATGACAACATGTATATGATGGAAATAGCTTAGCAAATCCGTTTCCAATATGGACGCAAAAGCAAAATAAACATAAAAAGTAAAAGAGCATCAGCATCTCCCCCCGAAAGTTTGCTCACGCGACATTGCTATAGATAACCTGGAGCATAGCAAGCTCCCCACTATCAGAAAAGAGATAGAAGGTCTGAGTCTCAACGCAAGTAGACTGCATCGCCCTCCATCGCAAATCATCCTTCGTTAACTCCCGGTATGGGGTTTCCAACGCCTGTGCCTGCGCTGTCACTGACTGGATGGCCTGTGGGCCATATATGGGCTCCTGGGTCCCCGCAACATTGGCCAAGCTAAAGTAGGTAGTACAAAGTAAGCAATAGGCATAACGCTGGGTACAACTAACGGGGATCGAAGCTGCACCTACGTTTGTTTGAACCAGTTCATGATGTGAGAGAAATGGAGCTGATCTAGGAGGAGGGATAACAGAAATACCAGGAAGAAGATGAGGAGGGAGTTGTTGGAAGCAAAACAGGTAGGTATATCTTCCCGCCGGAGAAACCAGAGCCCCGGGACTATGCTAGATACGGCAAGCGAGCTCCGACGACGTGGCAACGGCAAATTCAGCAGCAGCAGCAAGAAGTAGCGAGAGATTGTCTTTGAGGAGCAAGAATGCATATATAAATAAAGATAAAGACGACGAGAGAGCAAGAAGGGACAGCTGCGTAATGCTTAGTCATCCGTCTGCGGCTAAGTTTACGGCGGTATTATGACGCGGCTATATTAAGCGGGCGCTAATTCGGCTTATCCTTGTTAATGGATCTGCAGCCGCAAAAATTGAAGAAAGCCGACACCAGGCCTCACAAATCTCGCGGTTTCAACTTGTGAAAACTTCCTCCCATCAACTACTTGCCACATTAGTATTTGCCCTTGTCTTTCTTTCCCTTTGGCCCTGTCCTCCCTCCTCCTACAATCCATCCACAATGGCCCAGAAAGCCGCCGCAAAGGAGCTGATCGTCAAGCTCATCGTGGGAGCGGGACAGGCCAGCCCGAGTCCCCCCGTCGGCCCCGCACTCGGAAGTAAAGGCGTGAAGAGTATGGATTTCTGCAAGGTATATCCTATTGCAGCTATACGTCAATTGGTTGCTGTCGCCGCTATAAACTGACTTGACAATGAACTGTTAAGGAATTCAACGCTCGCACTGCCCACATCGAAACCGGAACTCCGATCCCCGCCCTCGTCACCATCCGTCCTGATCGATCCTTTACCTTCGATTTACGGACCCCGACCACATCCTGGCTGTTGCTCAAAGCAGCGGGCGTCGAGATACGCAAGGGCCGACTTCGGGGCACGGAGAACCCGGGCAAGAACTTTATCGGCAAGGTGTCGCTGAAACACGTGTATGAGATTGCGAAAATCAAGCAGTCCGAGGTCCGCTTGTCTGGGATAAGCATGCAGTCGCTATGCAAGAGCGTTATCGCGCAGGCAAAGACGGTTGGCATTGAGGTGGTCCCTTGAGCCTTCTAAAAGTTTTTTGGCTTTGTTTTCGTGAGCATATCTGGGGTGAACTTCATCTTGATCTCCCCTTTCCAGTTTTTTGGGATGGCGTAAATTTTGACGGCGTTCTTTGGGGAGGAAGGCTACTTTTATTTTATTCTCTTATGTTTCTGTGCATTATTATTTGGATCATAATACCATCCAAGCGAAGCGATTGCATTTTTCTTCTGCTGCGACTGAACAGGAAATAACAACCTGTACCGGTTTATATTGTGTGTATTATATAGGATGATTTAGGCGCTCAATTCTTCATTCAATCAATGCTAACGATAAGAAAGCTGTTTTTTGTGAGATACCACGTTGTGCAGGGAGTGCTAGTATTTAGTTGAGGAGCTTGACTTCTAGTAGTTACTCAGGAAATCCTCAGATGTTGTCCTTGATATGTAACACGAGCACAGACACCCGGCAAATACTCCGGAGAATAACACTTGTAGGTGGAAGTATGCACTCTGTACTACGGTGTTAAATGCGGTGCCTGTTTCTAAATTTATGGAGAGAACAGATTTAAGTTCATCCCAAGTGGCTAAGAAATTGCCCTGAGCCACCGAGCCTGTTATTTATAAATCGCTGCCAACAGCCTCAGCTATTTTTTCCAGTAACCGTGGCGTTCTGGAAAATTTCATATCTCCGTCCATCAGATCTGTAGCTCAAGACCCGGTTGCCAGCGAGTGTTGTCTAGCCCGCAGCCGCAGAGTGGGTATCGCATCGACAATTTTAGTGCTCGGCTTAACTACGGAGTAGTTAAGTGACGATTGTGACTCCGTCGTCGTTCCGCCATCTGTCTCCTCCATTCCACCTCTCCTCAAGCCTGCTCAGGCAACACCACCGCCCCGCTCACTTTCGTTGCTTCGCGCCGTCGGGCGCGTCACCAGCAGCACATCCTCCCATTGCCGCACGCACGCAGCCTCTTGTTTCTGAAACTCAACTGTTTGTCTGCAGAAACTGCCAACTCCCCAGTTCAGCCACATCATCACCCTCCTATCCTGTTTGCAAACGAAAAAAAAAAAAAAAAACCTAAAAAAGTTTCCGGTTTGCCGTCATCATCGCCAGTCCCGATAGCTCTCCCGATAGCGCCAATCGAGGGGTAATGTGTCTCGAAGGCTCCTGTTCCTCTTCCTACACACTCTCTGCCGCTGTTGATGGCCATGGCTTCCGAATCCCCGCAGTACGAAGGTACGTCTGACACAACGTAGAAAAAAGAAAAAGCAACAAACAAGGAAAAGAGAAACGAGAAAAGCAATCCTTACTTTGATGGCGCCTTCCTCCCACCCACATAAAAGGTGCACGGAGTTGATATTTGCTGACTTCAGCTTGTCTTCACAGACTCTCCACCTTCAGATAACAATAATCAATCGCCTCTTCAGCAAAACCAGCAGCAGCAGCATCAACCGATTATCTCTGCCATGGCGAACCATCCGAATTCCCGGCCATCTTCCCAGCAAGGTCCGCAATCAGTTCGCTTTGCTTCTGTAAACCAGGAGATCGAGCCTGCCTTCTCCATTCACGAAAGTAACGAGCCTGCTAATACTATCCCCCGGATGAAAGACGAGATACAATCCCTTGCAATACAAATACAAAAGTCCAAGCTACAGGAAGCCCGGTTGCAAAACTTCTCTTTTGATCCCGTTTCCCTTCCCCCCTCAAGAGTACGTGCTGTCTATCTTTATTCCCTTCCCCCTTCCCCCCTTATTTTACCTATATATTTTCTATTCTTTCTTTCTTTTTTACTCGTTCGTTTGTTGTTGGGACTTCTCTTTTCCTTTTTTTTCGTCTAGAGCAATTGTTGGTGGGCTCTCTTATATTAGTTCTACGCTGTTTTTTTATACCCCCAGGGTTCACTTGTTAACAAAACGTGTTTCAGGTTCCCTCTAAAGAATCCGGCAGTATTAGGAGCTCTCGGGATCCTAATAGATCTAACCCGACGTCCCCTCCTATATCTGGGGCTCAGTCCCCGTTACTTACCCCTACCGGCTCTGGAAGCCGTGAAGGCAAGCGGGGAGATCACGTTTACTATAGAGATGGGATCGGAGTGTCGGAACAGTCCGAAATCACTCCACAGACATCTCTATCAAATGACGCGTCGGGGAAAGGATACGATTCTGCCGGGGCTGGATCCCGCCCTTCGACCTCTTCAGAACTTTCCTCGACCAAGAATCCAGACATTACCGCCGCAGATAGCGGGAGACAACCTCGTGCCCCCAGATCGCAATTTTACCTAGCCCGGTCTTACGAAACTGACTCTCGCGATCCAAGCCCGGCGGCACCCCAGAAACATGAACCAAGCTGGAGTACACCCGCTTCAGGGGCCACTACTCCAGCCGGAGATCAAAATGACCCTTACTCTCGAACCCGTAGACCACCCCAACCTAAGAGTCTTTCCCAGATTGATCCGCGATTTGTTTTTGCTAGTGTAGATGCCAAGCGCCGGGGGAACCAGTCGCGATCTCCCGGCCCCATACCTCGATCAGCCAGTGGGGGTGATCTGAAGGGCTATGAAAAACGAGGCGTTTTTTTCACTGGAAGAAAGGACAGCCGTTTGGGTGATTCGAGCGGGTTACACGAAGGCAAAAGTTCCGGGTCAATGTCGGAACTGAAGCGCTTTTTCCGGATGGGCAATAAACCCAAACGTAGTGGTTCGCCTGCGTCTGCCTTTTCGAGAAAGGAGTCCGCAAAACCAAAACATCCTCAGTTCCAGCCAGCGAGTGTATCTGTACCTTTTGCGGATGATCATGGCCTCCAGTCCAAATATGGAAAGTTAGGCAGAGTTTTAGGGTCCGGCGCAGGTGGCTCAGTTCGGTTGCTGAAACGTAATTCGGATGGTGTCACGTTTGCTGTTAAACAATTCCGAGATCGCCATTCGTGGGAGAGTGAAAAGGATTACTCAAAAAAGGTGACAGCGGAGTTTTGCATCGGATCAACATTGCACCATGGCAATATAATTGAGACCATGGATATCATCAACGAGGGCGGACGGTGGTATGAAGTCATGGAGTTCGCTCCATACGACCTTTTTGCGATTGTCATGACAGGAAAAATGACGAAGGAAGAAATTGCGTGCTCATTTTTACAGATTCTCAATGGCGTTACTTATTTGCATGGGATGGGTCTCGCACATCGGGACTTGAAATTAGACAATGTTGTTGTCAACGACCAAGGGATCATGAAACTGATTGATTTTGGGAGTGCTGTTGTTTTCAGATACCCATTCGAGAGCGACATTGTGCTCGCAACTGGTAGGCTACCCTCAACGGGATGATGCGTGGCATCTCCTCTACCTCTTTCCTTCTCTTCTCGCTAACAAAATACAAATTTAGGAGTTGTCGGCTCCGATCCGTACCTCGCACCTGAAGTTTACGATGAGAAGCGTTACGATCCGCGACCTACAGATTTATGGTCATTAGCGATAATTTTCTGTTGCATGTCGCTACGTCGATTCCCGTGGAAACAACCCCGCATGACCGACAATTCCTTCAAGTTATTTGCCTCACCCCCAAACCATCAGCATTCTGAATCCGAGTCGAGAACCCTTCTAAAAGCCCGCCCAAGGTCAACACCTGATCTCCCCAGCGTCGTTGGTGCAGCCAACAAACAACCCCCCTTTGAGGATGAAAGAAGTGATGGTGCCCGTTCCTCGAGTCACCATCGCCATCACTCTCGGTCGGCGTCGAGATCCCGGTTACCACTGAGTGTTGAAAACGCGGCCAACACGAGTCCCAAGGATGGTGAAAATGAACCGAAAAATGAGACTGTTTCATCTCAATCATCTTCCCAAGTGGTCCAGACGGGCCAGCGTCAAGAGGTTATCAAGGGCCCATGGCGCCTTCTACGTATTTTGCCCCGGGAAACGCGACCCTTGATCGCCCACATGCTTAAACTTAACCCTCGAGAGCGCGCAACGCTAGAGGATGTTCTAGCAGACTCGTGGGTTCGAAGTTGTCAAGTTTGCTATCAAAAAGAAAACGGCACTGTGGTTCACGCAGCCAATCATACGCATGTCTTGGAGCCACCGTCATCGGCTCAGCCTCCAGCAAACAGCAACAAAAAAGACAAGCCCTAGTTAGCCTCGAGCCTCCCTCATTGTTGAGTTAAGGAGTGATTTCATATTGTTTTGTTTTGCTTTTGTTTCGTTTTGTTTTTGCCCTGGTTTGCGCCCGGCGCATCGATCTATCCTCATAAAAATAGATGGCGAGGGGCGAGTACATAATTCGTTACGCCCCGATACTATATCAGTACCATTCCATTCTCTCAAGCCATGCCCGCATGCGAAACCGAGTAACTCCGATCCCTCCACCTTCCACGTCCAACCCCAACCCCGCATCCATCCACAACACCCTCCAACCTGGGACAAGAAACGACAAACACAAAAGTTCGATACATGTGTATCTTCACTTTCTTCCAGCTGGCCAGTTCACTACCCTAATCTACTGACGGTTTTTTTTTTTGGTTCCTGTTTTTTACATCCCTGCATATTTTACATTGATAGATTGACTCCACCTTTTCTCCTCTTGTTTCCCTGAACTATTTCTGTCTCCGACTCATGAGTATTTTATCTTCATCGTCTTAAACATTCATCATGCATATGAGTTCTAAGTAATCATTAGACTGAGGGAAGGATTGGGAACAACGGGCTTGAGATGTTTTCTTGTCTGTTGTTACACATATATAGCTATAGCAATCAAATTGTACGTATCTAATGTATGGACTGTAAATGTACTGTACATTGCCTACTAATTCTTTTTAACTTATCATTGTAATCGCAATAACTTGTACGGCGATCATTTCCTCTTCCCCTGGCGCCATTCGTTACACACAGCGTTCCATCTATTCCTACGATGAGCTTGGGGTCCATAGACCCAGCTCGTCACATCCTTTCTTGCCATTTCCTGCTCCGTCCTGCCTCAAGGCTCGGCCCGATCGGCGAGTGTCCTCATGGGTGTTACTGTGTCCTATATTTACTGGTGATCAGGGGTTTCCCGTCCGTACCTCTTTAACAAGGACACACGAGTATAAGTCTGTAGTTACATAGTTACACTAAATGCAGCCAAGATCGACATACTAAATATTAGTATCTATCATGAATAAGGGAAAGAGTCTGATATCGGACATTTCCTCCTTCCTTCTTTTACGTACAGTCCAACTTTTAATATCCATCCCCACTTTTCCCCAATATTTTTTCTATATACAGGGCGGCCCTTAGGTGCGTGAGCGTATATACCCAAGAGGCCGGCTTGTTAACTATAAGGCAATCGTGGCGATGAAAAAACTTTACGCCCACGGTTTCCTTCCTTTGCTCTTCTCCCTTTTTCTTCTCTTATTGATGAGCCAATTCATCAGTTCCGCCATGGCAGGGAACTATATCATGTATTTAACCGGGTACGCTTTTTTTTTTTTTTTTTCTCCCTCCTGCCTTCGCCGAAATGATGCATTCAACTTATAAAACCAAAAATTTCCTGAAAGTACTCCGTCTATCTATCATAAATTAAACTAAGGGGAAACAAAAAAAAAAAAAAAAAAAAAACAGCCAGCACCCTCACCCCCCCTCCGACAGTTCCCTGATCAACCCCATAACCCATGTCGCCCTGGCATTTATGAATTCAGCTCTTTTCAACAAGGTGCTCACGGACCCTCCCACGACCAAGCCCGAGTGGGAGAAAAAGTTGTTCACCACGGTGGATAAAGTGCGGAAGCAGTTTGCGCCGGGCACGAAGGTTATGATTGCCATTGGTGGATGGGGGGATACGAAGGGCTTTTCTGATGCGGCGAGGACTGTGGAAGGGAGGAAGAATTGGGCGGCGAATGTGGCGGCGATGGTGAAAGAGATGGGAGCGGATGGTGAGTTTTATGTAACCTTTATATATATATATATATATATATATCTCCCCTTTCATTTTGCGGGTGTTGTTATTTTCGGTTTACTTAGGGGCATTATCCGTGATTATGGGGCTTTGTTGGGTGCAGACTGAGCTGTAAGAGGGATCTAGGGAACCAGAGGGGGCGTACTAATTTGTTATTTACTATTTATTTTATTGTAGGTATTGATGTGGACTGGGAGTATCCTGGGTGAGTTGATCTCCCACCAAATTTCTTCATTTTCAGTATATACATTCTCCTGCGAAATCGGCTGGCTAACATGGCATCCAAGCGGTAATGGCGCGGACTATAAGCAAATCCCCAATTCCGAAAAGAAATGGGAAATCGACGCCTACCCATGCCTGCTCGCCGAGCTGCGCTCTGCCCTGGGATCTGACAAGACAATCTCGGCCGCAGTCCCCGGCCTACCGCGGGACATGCTGGCCTTCACTCCAGAGACGCTCCCAAGCATTCTCGAATCTGTAGATTTCTTCAACATCATGACGTACGACCTCATGAACCTACGTGACACCGTCACGAAACACCACACAGGCCTAGCCCTCTCCTTGGAATCGATAGACGCATATATGGCAGCTGGCCTACCGCCCTCGAGAGCAAATCTCGGCTTCGCTTTCTACGTCAAATGGTTTCGCACTGAGGATCCGACTAAAGGTTCCGGCTGCGACAAGAACCCCATCGGCTGTAAGACGGTCCTGCTGGAAGACCCAAACACGGGCGAAAGCACAGGTCAGGCGGGAGCTTTCTCCTGGAACGAGCCGGCGCCCGGTGAAGTCGCCTCGTCGTTCGAGCGAGCCTTGGCTGGCGGTCGGTATGATGATTACGTTCCTATTCATTATGGAGGGGTGGGTGAGGGTGGTGGACACTACTTTTGGGATAAGAAAGAGAATATCTGGTGGACGTGGGATACGGGGGAAGCTATTAAGAAAAAGATGCAACCTATCATGGTGGCGAGGGGTTTGGGTGGTGCCTTTGCTTGGGGGTTGGGGGAGGACGGGCCGAGATTTACGCATCTGCAAGCCTTGGAAGAAGGATTGAAAGAGATTGGGATTGTGAAGTGATATCGGGAAGTGATTGGGATAGATAGGTGTGGGGAATGAGAGGGCAGTTGCGTTGCGCGCAATGTGGTTTTGTTTTGTGTTTCTACTTCCTCTTGTCATGTGTGCAATGCAGTATGATGAGTGGCTGAAGAACGTCCGAGGATGACAGTTGGGAGCTCCGTCAGGATATAAGCTCGGGTGGCACAAAGGCACGACAGCCCTAACGAGAGATGAAAAGAAAAAAAAAGGAATAAATCCCACCAAATGTAGAATCAAAAGCTAGCTGCCTACGCCCAATGAAGAAACGAAAAATAAATATAAATAAAATACTACCTCATATCTCTGTACCAGACGCCGATCTGGAATTTGCGGAAGTTACCGAGCTAGGGCCACCAGTCCCTGCTGTGTTAGCATCAGAGGCGCCCGATACGCCAAGTGCCGACATCTTTAGAGGTAGCTCCGTGTCATCATTGGGCCCAGGCTTTGCATCCAAAGCTGAAGTCGGCGCGGGGGCCGAGGGTGACGCTATTGCGGCTTCGGAACCTGGGATTGGGATTTCACGCTTGCCGTTGGCTTTGTAAAAGAGGACCATGTCGTTTCCAGTCCGCCAAAGGTGAGTGCGGATCGTGGAGAGGGTCATATCGGGTGGAACGAGCTGGAAATTTTTGTTTTGTTTAGCTTGAATTGCATCGTTATGTGTGGAGTATAGTGCATGTGGAAAAGGGTCATGTTTTGGCTTTCACCTCGAACCGGAGAGGCGTAGGGGAGGGGAGCATTTGGTCTGTGGAAAACTAGTCACAGTGACAGAAGGAACATACAGTATTTTGGCAGTATAGTTCCAAATATTCTTCTGGCTTCAGAGGATTTGCATCGGGCTCGTCAGGGTTTTGAGGGTCGATGCGTTCAGCGACGTATGCGAGGATCTTTTTTGCGCGGAGCATCCGATTGGCGTTCAAGCGGGAGGGATTGTTATTTGTTGAGAGGCTGCAGTACCGACATTCTGCGTCAGCTATCGAAAATGTGGATGGGGAATAAGAGCTGGTATAACATACGTATCAAGCTTTACGACCGGAGGGAGTAGATCTTTATATGGTTTCAACGCAAATGCGACTTTGGTTACCTCTTTGAAGGGTATAATGTTCTGCAGGGAAATAGTTGATGTATTAATTTCGTTAATTTGAAGATCGACATGATAGAAAGAAGAATTGAAAGGTAAATGAATAAAAGCTTACTCGTAAAAGGAATTCGCCGAGCCATTTCGGGATGGATTTCTCAAGCTTATCGGCATCAGCCCCTACAGTCCCGACGGTCCCTAGATAGAGATCTGCTGGAACGGCCGATTCGGGGTGTTCCTCTTGTATCAGAATTGCTGTATTTGGTGGCAGTGATAAGGCTGGTGTCTCATTTTCTTTGCTTGGGGTGATGCTAGAAGGCAAAGGTTGGCCCGGGTGTTCGTTCAACGTGTCTTCGTATTCTGATCTCATCTTTTGAATAACCCCGCCTAGGTTTTCTTCATACACTTTTTCTTTTTCAGATGACTTGTCATCAGACTCCTCTTCGATCTTCTCTTCGATGATTGGCTTCGTCTCGGTGGAAGTTCTTCCCAGCTTTTTGGGAAAGGACATTTGGAACTTTTTACCGAAACGCGATCCACTTCGTTTGCCAGGTTTATCCTCCTTCTCCATATCGGCTGGCGAAGATTCGAGCTGTGATTGTGATTCATCCTCAGCTGGACCCGGAGACTTTGGGTTTGTATCTGGAGAGTCAATTGTGTGCGTATTGGTGGCGGAGGCAAAATAGTCAAATTGGTCCTTACCAGGCCCATGGATCCCGGGCGCTGACGTTGACGGATTCCCTAAATTATCAGAAAAGGAGGATTGCGCTCCAGGAGTGACAAATCCAATGGAAAGTCCAGGTGTGGCAGGATGATGCATTCCACTACTTGTACGCATTGTACTGGAGGGACCAGCTTCGGCTACGTTTTGGGCAACTACTGTGGGAATTTCTATTGAACCCGGGGCATTCTGTCGAGAAATCCCTTGTGTTCCTCTCGCTTTTTCTTCAAGAGTCTGTCGAAATGCCGCATCTTGCTTTATTTCTTCTTCAATAAGGCTGGCGAATAAATAACGAAGAATCCACTTGCCAAGATTAACTGTTCAAATGAATGTGGTTAATTGCCTATACCATCTAATACTTGATCGCACAGGGAAAATGAGACGTACTTCTCTGGTCTTCCCTAAATAGGCTCAAGTCGTCAAGACCTGCCTCATCCGCATAGATTTCACCATCGAAACAACGGTTAGCTTCTAGGATCACTGATAGTCTCCCCGTCCGCGTATCCAACGTGCACCAGTTCGCTATCGTGTCTATCGTATTGACTTCAGATGTGACATCATCCAGGTGACGCTTCCCAAAGGACCGAATAGGAATACACTACCGAATTTTTACGTTAGAAAGGAATATTTCTTGCAGAGCACGTTCTATTTCTCACCTACCTTAAGGAGATCCCAGAGGACTACCTCCCCTGCCGTGTCCTGGGTAAGAGCGCGCTTCCTATCCTTGAGGAGGACATGTTTAATTAAGCCGTTTTGTCCCACTATCGTCTCTTCAGGAAGCGATTGAAGGGGCACTACCAACTCCAGATCATCATCAAGCAACATTTCATGGGTCATACGTCCCCCCATGGGAGCGGCCGCGTTTGATAACTGTAGAATGGAGCTGCGAGGAAGTCTCCGTGCTGAAGAAACAGATTCCGAAACTTCAGATGAAGGTTGGGTAGTGCCCATGCTTTGATGCGAGATAGCGCTAGAAGTATGTCGATGTTGTGATGGAAGTGGCAAATCAACTTCTGCAGTTGTGTCAACATCATTCCATCGGTTAATGCTGGATTTTGGCGTCGCAGTCCAGATATAGTCACCAGCAGCAACGACCTTCACGACTCCGTCATTTTCCTGAAGCGCGGCCACGCAGATCCCCTGGTCAAAATCCGTAGCCCTTCGAGAATCCGTTTTGGCAACAAAACCTGATCTGTCGCTGGAGTAGAATACGGAGAGGTGAGGGTGGTCGGAATGAAGTGACCAAACACTATCATTATGCATGGTCAAAGTATGCATGCATCGTCCAGCCGTCATGGACCATATTTTGACGGTCTGGTCGGAGGATGCAGTCATGATTGTATCTCCATCCTGATTGATAAGTATGTCTCGCACATTATCTGTGTGGCCAACAAATTTCGTGATCAATTTCCCTGACCTGTGGTCCCACACACGAACGACGCACTCCGGCCCTCCACTTGCTAATATCGAGCCCCTTGTGCTCAGCGCATATACGGAGCCTTTAGTCGCAAGTTCATCTTCAGATAAATCAATTTTTAACCTTTCTCCTGCTCCGTTCAAATCCCAGAGATATATTTTGTGATCCAAACCACCAGATGCAACCCATTCAGAGTGCGGCTTTGGTGTTGCTAGACATTTTACATAGTCCCCATGCTTGCCAATCGAAGGCGGTAGCCGCATGTCTTGAGATTCTGGCCGCCATACTCTAACAGTCGTATCTGATGATGCAGAAACGAGCGCCGAGTTGCCTTGCGCAAGGAGAATATCATTTACCCAATGTGTATGTGCCTGAACCTGGCGGCGGAAAGTCGTTGCTGGTATAGTCTTTGTACTCGAATCGGAAACTAAATTAGTGGATGTAGTGCCTGACGAGGCGGAAGAAGAGGGGTTAAAACCACCGCTCGATTTGAGATCAAGGTTTAAATCCCAGGCGCAAATAACACCATCGCGTCCAGCCGAATAACTATGTGACATGTAAGCTAGTCGTTGCAAGAACCCGTGGAAGCAGATATTGGACCAAAGATGGGCAAAATAATATAACACAGCGTATAATATAAAACATAGGGATTGTGTATACTGACAGGATTGAGCTCCCAGTGTCGACTGCAAGTCCATTGACACCGAGACGATGGCCGCCTGGACAATCTGGCATAGGCAGCACTAGAGGGAGAGATTGGAGTTAGCTGCCATTACGTATTCATCGCGGCAATACAACGCAGCGTAGGAAATACCAGGAATATTCAATGACAGAAAGAGGCAACATACCATAGCTGACTCGCTGGCTAGACTTTTTCGCCATCAAGCGTTATTATAGAGAAGCAATGGGGAATAAATTGGCGCAACCTCGTGTACTGTACATGGGGAACTTAGGCGACGACAATTTGGGAAGAGATAGACCAGGCCATGGGAAAAGGCTCTGTGGACAGAGGTCGAAAATCCGCAGCAGATGAACGTCAAATCATCTCAGGCAGCTTGTCGGGCTGCACCGAGCTCTGGTGTTGCTGACAAGGAGAGAGGACTGCAGCGGCCGCATCAAGCGGGAGATGGCTGCTCGAGGCTTATTAAATAAGGCAGAATATTTAACTGCGCTAACTAGCAGACGACGATATTAAAATATATATCAACACAAAAGTGGACTAAAAATATCAGAAAACGGTCTATAAAATCATATCTCATTCCTCGATATCGCCAAACATCTTGGATGATGTTGAGAACCGAAACGAAAGAAACCAATGCTCCCGAAGAATCGGAAGATCAAGCGGGGAACCACGTGATTTATTAAATAATCCATGGATACTGGAATGGATGGACGAGTCTCCTAAAAACAACGAGAGCGGCTTCTATCTCCTCTGTATCTCCTTACCCCGTCGTCGTCGTCGTCGTCGTCGTCGTCGTCGTCGTTATTTGACCCTGCCAACTGCAGATCACCCTGGTTTCAGTCTGGACCTGACAAGTCGTTTTTCTTTGGTGATATCATGCTGCTGGATTACATAGTAAGGCCTTCGGGTCAAAAGTAGTAGTATCTGGCCGTTATATCGCCGTCTATCAACTTGCCACAGAGTATTTCCGAGGTTGTACGGACATAGGAGTTTAGAACGGGGACACTGAGGAGAGCCCAATATTGCATGCAACCAATCATGGAGAAGATTCTCTACAATATTTTGGATACAACCGGGATCGGATATTTAATCACCGTCCAATAGAAAGTAAATAGGATATAGTGGGTGGTGCCGCGAATAAGATTTTTTTTTTTTTTTTTTTTTTTTTTGGCAGAAGGGGAATCCCAGCAAAATGTGGTCTGACCTGCGTATTATGGTGATTGAAATGTCCGAACCCCTCCTCTTCTCCTCTTTTGGTCGTCATGACTTATTAACATAACCAAAGCACTTCAAGAAGCGACAGGAAATCATCTGACGGAGGAGGAACAAATCACGACAAGATCAATGATAGCAAGTAATAAAGTGAAATAAACAAGTGCAATTACAGCGATCCAAGATGGACAACACTCCGCCGCTCTCAGAAATAAAACCCGTGTTTTCCCCCACGTCATCTCCCGCCGCAGAACCCCCCGCAGCTCAACAAACAATTGACGTCCTCAACCTCCAAACGCACATTGAGGGCGGATACTTTGTCGAGACTGACAGAGACCCTCTTCGCATTCCGAACCCGTTCCTGAAAGACAATAAGCCCTACCGCCATCAACCAGGGCATGCCACCGCTGAGGCTGTCCGTGACGATTCCACCCGTTCCGCCAGCACCTCAATCTTCTACTATCTCTCACCTGGAAGGCCGTTAGGTGTCTTCCATAGGAATCGGTCACGGACTGTGCATACCCTGCACCGTGGACGGGGGAGATATGTAATCATACACGCGGACGAGGTGGAAGAGGGCGGCAAGGCGAGGATTGAAACCTTTGTGGTGGGGAAGAATATTGCGGCCGGTGAAAAGCTGCAGTGGATTGTTGAGGGGGGGAAGTTTAAGAGTAGCTATTTGTTACCAGACAATGAGTCAGGGCAAGAAACGGATGGTTTGCTGATTAGCGAGGTATGAACTTTTTTTTTTTACAAATTTGTTTTGTTTCTTTTGGATCCCGTTCAAAGTTTTTCGACTTCAACAACGCGTCCTCAGTCCTCGTTTCGTCGTGGGCTACTTTACTGATGGATGCCTCAAATCGCGTTAGACTGTCGTCCCCGGATTTGAATACCAGGATAATGATTTCATGCTACCTGAGACCTTGGAAGAGCTATTGACACCTGAGCAAGCCAAGGAGTTGGCATGGATGGTGAAAAAAGCCGAGAAGCCAGCAAGAGTAAATGAAAAATGAGAGTGGAAAATTAGCAGAGTAAAATTTGAAGCTTCAGCGTTGGTAACTGAGGTGTTCAAGTAGCGAAATTGAACCGTAGCCGCAACAGCGAACAACAATTATCTCCTATCCTCTCTGCATAATTTTCTGTAAAACGTGCTATTTCACATGTTCATGTAAAATATAGCAGAATCTAAAATGCTGTAGTATATAATTAATATACATTCATCCTTCATGTCTCGGGACGATTAAAATATGTTTCAACCATCATAGGGGCTCCAGTCCAGCACGTATATTGCCAGCCTGTCTTGTTCGAAGCATATTCGAAGTAAATTGGTAACTACCCAAGAAGACAGCACCTCCAACCCCAATCCACGCAACTCTTGGCCCAATCCCTCTCCAGAACGCGCCAAACCCTTCCTCCTTCATGAGTCTACGCGCTACATCCCGCACTCGTATATGATCGCTGCCACTTCTCCTCGCTAGCATGACTCTAGTTTTGACAACATCGAGAGGAGTCGTCAGGCCAGCCGCAACAGCCCCCGCAAGGCTGCCAAATAATGCACTCGGTGCCGCACCTACCCCTATCAATCCAGACCCCGGGACGGTGCTGGTATCTGTTCCTGCATTCTTTCGAGATGCGTATGCATCTTTCATCGTCTCCCACAACGTAAATTGCAGGACCGTGAATGGTATCTCTCGCGCAATCGTGATGGTAGCGCCGCGATATAACTCTCTTATAACGAGCCCCAAGCCTCTAGCTCGTGTATCATGGGCGCTCCCGGTTCCAGCATGCCGTAATGAGAGGATATCCTTGAGCGCATGTAACGTGGATCCACCAAACAACCCTGCCTGGGCGCGTTGCTTTATTACCTCTGTAGGGACTCGGACTGCGCATGCGGATATTTCGCCAAGAGATGATGCAAGAGAATGTGTGAAGATCGCATGTTGCCAGGATACGGGGGTGTAAGTCGAGGATGACGGAGGAGACAAAAGGAAGCGATTTACGCCATCGTAGACGATGAAAAAGCTAGCGGCTGAAGGGGCAGAGCCGAGGAGGACAGAGGGGAGTCCAGCGTAGATTCCGCGCACGGTTTGCCGGAGAGACGGAGTGGAGTGTTTTGTGGAAGATCCAGTGTGTTTACGCGCTTGTTGGAGGCGGGTTTTTATGGTGTCGAGAGGGTAGAGCGAGAGGTCAACTGTAAGACCTGCCACAGCCCCGGACTAATAAACAGCAATGGGGAGTGCTGTGTGAGCCAAGAGAACTTGCGCGTAGGGCTTAGTATGGGGTATTGTATTATTAAGAATGGTTGCGTACTATGAGCGACCTCGTCCAGAGGGATGGATTTGCTGGAATCTGCTCTGGTTCAGAAGGCTCAATCGCGGCCATGGCGCTGGTGTGGAGTTGTATTGACGTAAAAGAGCAGTTTCACGACATCGTCACCGCCGCCAACGACATGTGCAAATATACATTTATCATTAGTGTACTGAGTTTGCTGGTGGTGCGTTGGACTTCCGCTGGCAAGCGTCGGCGTGGATGTGTCATCAGCAGAAAAAAAAGCCAATTTTGGAATCTCGGCATGCCGAGTGTCAACAGCGGCTCGTTCCAGAAACAAGCCGAGGAATTGCCAAATTCATGCGTAGGAAGTCGATATAGAAAGCGAATAGTAAAATATAGATTTGAGGGATATATTTAGATAATTAAGTGTGGAAGTCAAAAGCTGTGATCACCGGGAAAAAGAATTCACATGAATAGAATCGAGTAGACCTATCAAGGTAACTAGGCATTTAGAAAATATTCTATCTAAAAATATAATAGGACCTAAGGACTGCTTAGAGCTTTGGAATTCATTCCAATCTATCATTGCTGCTCGATCTCCGTATGTCACGTGATAATAACTGGTTGATTGCCTTCGTTTCTGCAAATCGATGGATATCAAAAAAATTTGAGGACGGTCACAACGACAAAATCCAGTTTGACTAGTACCATTTGAATGGCGCGAAGATCATTGCGACTTGGCAACACTGGCCCAATTTCCGCGAAAGAGTTTTGTGAGGCCGTAACACATCTATGGGGAAAATGGCGAGGCACTTCGACTCCAAGCTTGCCATCAAGAATAGGTTCGTTCATAGACCCTTCGCTTAATACCTTCGGATGCACTTTCGCTAACTTGTGAGTTTTAGGACTGGCTGTCAGCGGGGGCGCTGACTCGATGGCATTGGCTTTCCTATGCAGACAATTAATATCGGAACGCTTGATTCCTGATTTACAGGTGAAGCCCTTCATTGTGGACCATCTGGCTCGAGAAGGCAGCACGGACGAGGCACACAAAGTATCAGGTTGGCTTAGAGAACTCGGTATGGTTTTGCGGATAATGTATCCCATTTTGATTCTTTACATTGGGATTATGATATCTGACTGCGGACGCTAATTGGTCTGTAATCTACTGCCCGTTTTAGGTTTTGACCCTTCTATCCTAACCCTCCGTTGGTCGGACGGAACTT